ACTCGCGAAATGTATGGTTCCATTTAATTCTGCTGTACATGCAATCTTCAAATTTGCATCTGGGAAAAGATACTTCAATCAAAGTGCGTTGTTTCCGGTAAAATCAGAGTAGATTCTGTTTAGAAAATTCTGCTTTGAAAATCCAGTACATCCTGCGCTATGAGCTTAACCAATAAGCTTGTGCAGCTGTTATTTGTTTTACTCTACTGAGAATGAGTACAGCAAACAAGCACATATATAAACCCCCATGACATGCCGAAAGTTTTTCTTTGTCACGAAAGATGTGTGAATACGGAAAGGGTAGATTACTATCGGTTTTCACAAAATCTTAGTATCTATTCTGCGAGTCTGCTGCGCAGTTGCAATTTTAAATCGGTAAACAAATGCACCGAAAACTGCTTCACTATATAAAAAGTGAGAAGAAACAGTAGGTTTATCCCTAATATTCTAGGAAGTCAAAAAAGGTCAAACTTAGGGATGCACTTTTAAGAAATATCATATTTTGAAGGTGTGGTTAAACAGATCCGACAGAATCCTTATTTATGAATAATTCACTGAAAGCACTTGAAATCGGAAAGTATTCAAAAACAGTCCGAACATCGTTGCAATAGAATACCATAAATAAAAACAAAACATGCGCCGCAAGGAAATTGCTTTTACTGTACACAAAATAGCACGTTTACGATGGTACCTGACAGTTCCATTTAAATTTATTGGTTATTGACCGGCATTTCCACACGTGAGCTTACGAAATATTTTTTTTCCTGTGATACCCAATCAGCGCAATTAAACAAATTTCTGAGTGTCTAGTCCAGCGTATCTAAAACAACGTACAAATGAAAAAAAAACAACTGACAATTTTCGTGAAATCATCTTGGAAAGAATACTCGAGCTTTGGGTTGTTTGGTTACAGCCGTAATTTACATTGCGCATAATATGAAAACAGATAAGTATGAAAATTTCGCAAAAGGATTATTTTCAAACGTACTTCTACTTGCGCTGCTTCATACACACGGTGTTCTGCCTGAACATGCTTTCTGCACATTTAAAACTTAAGTTTACCTAGTAAACCGGCTTCTTCATTTTTCTGAATTTTCTCTTGTTCTGTCAAAACTTGCATTTTTAAACGCCATGGTATTACTTTACAAAGCGCAATAGGCTTTGTTTTTAGCACCGACCATTACTTAACTAAGCTAAGAATTGGCAAACAACTTGTGAGCTGCTTTAGCATACAAAGAAATTTTGTGTTAAAATCCTTAGATTTAAACAGATAAGGTACAGTAGGTCGTCTAACACCTGAACTCCAGGATTTTTACAAGTAACTCCCTGTTACTAAAACGCAGCCCAAGCTGCGGCCCCCAAAGCCTGACAGCAATAAAGTAATAGTCGTTTTTTACCATAGAGTATATTGCAAATTATGAGGTAACATTAAGTTTTATAGAAATGCCAGCCTTTTAGAAGAGTGGAAAATTCGAAAAAATTGCAATTAGGCTTACTAGGTAAACTTAAGTCTTACATGTAGACGAAGACTATTCACGCAAAACCACCGAGTTAATAAAGCAGCACAAGTAAAACTATGTTGCAAAGTAATCCTTTGGTAAAATTTTCGGATGTATATGCCTCCATATTATGTGCAATGTATGACAGCTACCGAAAAGCTTAAATTTCGAGTAGGTATTCCATCACGGTTTCACGAGAATTGCTGGTTGTTTCTTTCGTTTAAACATTGCTTGAGTTATGCTGGACTAAGGAAGCCATATTTTCGCTTGATTTGACCTATTCGGAAATCACAGGAGTGAGATATTTCGTAAGCTCACGTGCGGAAATGCTGGTCAATGACTAATATACCTAAGTGTAATGGTTAAGTGCAATTTGTAACGTACCATTTTTTGTACACTGAGATACATTTCCTTCCGCCACATTCTTTTGTAACTATTTTGGGATTTAGAGTACGAAGAGGTTCAGAACTTCCTTGAAATGGTAATTCACACTACGATTTTCACTGACTTCAGTCGATTGACAATAAATAAGGATTATATTCTACGTGCCTACCAAAACTTTTAACATAAGATATTTCTTAAAAACATTTACCTGAATAACAAGCGATTAAACATTCTATCTTATGCAGCTGTCTGTTTCGGTCATGGTTTTAGAATCACTCAAACGTGTCAACTCGTTGCCGATAAAAATGAACGTCCACAACAAAAGTTGTGGATGGATATGCCTAAGAATGATTTAAAAAAATTTGATAACAGGTTATCTCTGAAAAAAGCGCTTTTGTTATGTATTTTGGCGTCGAATATCTGCGTACTTTAGTTTTTTGAAGATAAGGTCAAGATCAGAATTGGAAATTTTGGCCAGTTTTTTGACTTCCCTAAAAATAAGGGATTCATCTTCAGTTGTAAATGAAAGAGCTAACTTTTCTGTCTAAACGGGAACAGTTTTCAGTATATTTGCTTACTTCTAGGCTCAGTTCTAAGATAACAAAAGCATCACAGAGGGGCAGAATATCAACGAAGATTTTGAGAAGACTAATAATCTTCTGCTCGTTCTGTTTCAGGTTCTTCTATTCATTAATTATGCTCTATAGATGGGAGATGTCCGGGCATATTTTGCCTACGACCTGACAGAGAAAATTGACAGCATGTCTTGATTGTATGTGTATATGCTTGTTTATGGTCGTTGTTTTCGGTGAGGTTTAGCAAATGACAGACTTATAGGTTTGTTACTTCATTTTATGGCACAAAATTGGCAAATTTGCAAAATAGAATTATTAAAACTAACTTCACTCTTCTTTTCTCGACAATAATGCGTTATCTCATAATTGTACTAAACTCCGTTTCATGAAAGCAAAACGAAATTATCTGTTCTCTGAACATATATATTTAAAAAGATTCCGCTCTTTGTTAATGTTCTTTTATAGTACAACACACAAAAACAAGGAGTTTTTTCCACGGTGTTTAAAAGCGTAGAAAATTCGTTCTATATCGACAAACGTTGGATTTGGCCCCACTTTGTCCCGTTTTGCCCCCAGTATACTGAGTTGAACCGAACTTCTGCTAGTAAACAGCATTTTGCACCTCAAGTCAACTCAATGAGCAAAATAAACAACCTCAAATGTGCATTACATCACCCACTTAAATGTTGATCTTCACATTTAATTAGATATAATGATGTAATCATATAAACTAAGGACGCATATCACATGATTTCCTGACGAGTAGGAGGGTAAACTTACGGTTTACCGGTCCCATCAAACGCAGGTAAAGCGAAGTGAAGTAACACTTACCTCGGGAACCCTCCCAGTCTCCCTGTAATTACGAATGACTGCAGGCAATGAAAGACCCTGTGGATACAAATTAAAAACGTCCGGATTTATTGGAATTTTCCAGTCAGCATCGTCTACTTGAGTCATTTCTGCAAAGCTGACAGCATGGTTTCCACCTTTCTTACTAATTAAATTTAGAGGAATCGTGGCGTATCTGGTAACCGGGAGCGACCGGTCGAGAAAGTAACGGAAATCCAGGTCATAGGCTCCATCTTTTACCATTTTACTGGCCGAAAACAAGCGAATTTGGTGTTTTGTCGAAGAAGTCCAAATGCTCATAAAATTTAGAGTGGGCAGCAGGTAATGTCTTGTGAAGTAGGCATCGCTGAGTATTTTCAGGATGACCAGTGAAATGATCATGAAGAGCAACATGCGGTGAGATAATGTGCAATGGGCCATCAAGGTTAGGCTTCCTCTAGTTGTCTCAGTCGAGCTCAGAGTCAATACCTGCACCCACTAGACGACGAGTTATGTTGGCTTTCTCTATGCTATATAACATTGTGATGGCTGGCTGCGGAATTTGGGAACACAACCAATGGAAAAAACGCTCAGTGTAGATATGCGCA